TCAACCGCCAAGTATACATCACGGTAATGTATGTAAAGTTGATACAGTTATCGTAGAACTAGTCAACCGCCAAGTGTACATCATGTTAATGAATGTAAAGTTGATACAGTTATCGTAGAACTAGTCAACCGCCAAGTATACATCACGGTAATGTATGTAAAGTTGATACAGTTATCATAGAACTAGTCAACCGCCAAGTATACATCACGGTAATGTATGTAAAGTTGATACAGTTATCGTAGAACTAGTCAACCGCCAAGTATACATCACGGTAATGTATGTAAAGTTGATACAGTTATCATAGAACTACTCAACCGTCAAGTATACATCACGGTAATGTATGTAAAGTTGATACAGTTATCGTAGAACTAGTCAACCGCCAAGTATACATCACGGTAATGTATGTAAAGTTGATACAGTTATCATAGAACTAGTCAACCGCCAAGTATACATCTCGGTAATGTATGTAAAGTTGATACAGTTATCATAGAACTAGTCAACCGCCAAGTATACATCTCGGTAATGTATGTAAAGTTGATACAGTTATCATAGAACTAGTCAACCGCCAAGTATACATCACGGTAATGTATGTAGGTAATTTTATTCACGAGATCTCAACTCGAACTATTCCATCATCACATCACCTGACACTGTTCCACCAATTTCTTCCACTGTTCCTCCTCTTTAACTTTTTGATTCAAGGGCTTAATAACAGCCACATCATTAGAGGTAATGGTGATAATCACACGACCCAACCTTATTAGCAAAGTGTGAAGAAAATAATCTTGTCCGACTGAGCTCAATCCCTTTCTGTGTATTGCATATACGAGAGGAAACCAAATGTCATTACTGTTGTCTGATGTAAGTGCATAACACAATTAACAATCATGCGTGAATGGAGTGATATCGCTTAGTAAATAACACTAATAGTAGAGTAAAATTTGTAATGATATCAAGTGCAAATGTCAGCAGTGAACAAAGTGATTTCCAAGTCGATGGTATACAGATAGCAATAAGACGAGGCACACGCACGTGCCCCAATAAATGAGAGAGTGATGAGGCACACGCACGTGCCCCAATAAATGAGAGAGTGATGAGGCACACGCACGTGCCCAGATAAATGAGTGAGAGATGAGGCACACGCAAGTGCCCCAATAAATGAGAGAGAGATGAGGCACATGCACGTGCCCCAATAAATGAGTGAGAGATGAGGCACACGCACGTGCCCCAATAAATGAGAGAGTGATGAGGCACATGCACGTGCCCCAATAAATTAGAGAGTGATGAGGCACATGCACGTGCCCCAATAAATGAGTGAAAGATGAGGCACACGCACGTGCCCCAATAAATGAGAGAGAGATGAGGCACATGCACGTGCCCCAATAAATGAGTGAGAGATGAGGCACACGCACGTGCCCCAATAAATGAAAGAGTGATGAGGCACATGCACGTGCCCCAATAAATGAGTGAGAGATGAGGCACACACACGTGCCCCAATAAATGAGAGAGAGATGAGGCACATGCACATGCCCCAATAAATGAGTGAGAGATGAGGCACACGCACGTGCCCCAATAAATGAGAGAGAGATGAGGCACACGCACGTGCCCCAATAAATGAGAGAGAGATGAGGCACACGCACGTGCCCCAATAAGAGAGAGAGTGATGAGGCACACGCACATGCCCCAATAAATGAGGAGAGATGAGGCACATGCACGTGCCCCCAATAAATGACTGGAGAGATGAGGCACACACGTGCCTCTAAATAAATGAGTGAAGCAAGCACACGCACGTGCCCCAAAAAATGAGTTAGAGATGAGGCACACGCACGTGCCCCAATAAATGAGTGAGAGATGAGGCACACGCACGTGCCCCAATAAATGAGTGAGAGATGAGGCACACGCACGTGCCCCAATAAATGAGTGAGAGATGAGGCACATGCACGTGCCCCAATAAATGAGAGAGAGATGAGGCACACGCACGTGCCCCAATAAATGAGTGAGAGATGAGGCACACGCACGTGCCCCAATAAATGAGTGAGAGATGAGGCACACGCACGTGCCCCAATAAATGAGTGAGAGATGAGGCACACGCACGTGCCCCAATAAATGAGTGAGAGATGAGGCACACGCACATGCCCTGATAAATGAGTCAGAGATGAGGCAGATGCACGTGCCCCAATAAATGAGAGAGAGATGAAGCACACACACGTGCTCCCAATAAATGAGGAGAGAGATAGAGGCACACGCACGTGCCCAATAAATGAGTGAGAGATGAGGCACACGCATTTAATAAATGACTGAGATGAGGCACACACGTGCCTCCAATAAATGAGAGAGAGTGATAGGCACGCACATTGTCTCTCCAATAAATGAGAGTGAGGCACACACGTGCCCAATAAATGAGTGAGACACAAAACACACTTGTGCCCCAATAAATGAGAGTGATGAGGCACACGTGCCCAATAAATGAGTGAGAGATAGAGGCACACACGTGCCCCAATAAATGAGTGAGATAGGGCACACGCACGTGCCAATAAATGAGAGAGATACAAGGCACACACGTGCCCAATAAATGAGTGAGAGATAGGGCACACGCACGTGCCCAATAAATGGGTGAGTGATGAGGCACACGCACGTGCCAATAAATGAAGTGATAAAACACGCACGTGCCCCGTAATAAATGAGAGAGATGAGGCACACGCACGTGCCCAATAAATGAATGAGAGATGAGGCACACACGTGCCAATAAATAAGAGTGAGGCTAGAAGACACACGCACGTGCCCCAATAAATGAGAGAGAGATGAGGCACATGCACGTGCTATTAAATAGTGAAGATGAGGCACACGCACGTGCTCCCAATAAATAAGAGAAGAGAGATAGAGCACACACATGCCCCAATAAATGAGAGAATAGATGAGGCACACACATGCCCCAATAAATGAAAGTGATAGAGGCACACGCACATGCCCCAATAAATGAGTGAGAGATGAGGCACACGCACGTGCCCCAATAAATGACTGAGAGATGAGGCACACGCACGTGCCCCAATAAATGAGTGAGACACAAGACACACGCACGTGCCCCAATAAATGAGAGAGAGATGAGGCACATGCACGTGCCCCAATAAATGAGTGAGAGATGAGGCACACGCACGTGCCCCAATAAATGAGAGAGAGATGAGGCACACGCACGTGCCCCGATAAATGAGTCAGAGATGAGGCACACGCAAGTGCCCCAATAAATGAGTGAGATACAAGGCACTCGCTCATGCTCCAATAAACAAGTGAGAGACATGGCACACGCTCGTGCCCATCAGCTGAACCCGAGCCTAAACATAGTGTCTGCGAATTGGAGGCATACGTACGTGCCCAACAATCGAACACACGTGCCCGGTGTTATGAGTGTCGGAATAAGAACCAACCTTGCTCGACTTTTAAGAACACCAAGTATTATATAGTGATTTATATGTGAGACTGTGGGTAGTCACATTTTAGAATTCAACGGTAAATAACTCACTTGTTTATGCGTTACGTGTCTTGGATAACCACTTTGTTCTTGATAGTGTCAAGACTAAATAAGTGTTTAGTCTATACCCTGATGCTCATTATTTTGTCACTCGGTTGAGTCGTTTATTTGTTCAGATTTAATTTGTATTTGTTTATTTTTGTACATACTGATATACTTGTTTTATTGTTTGTTTGTTTGTTAATATATTCTGTAATTAAAACTACTGCGTGTATTTCAATATATCCCATAGTAATGAGGTGATGATTTTGGTGGGATCTATTCCTTGGACCTGTAATACAAAGAGAAGTTGAATTTATGAATTTGTAATTTTGTTACGCCCTAAGAGGCCAAGGGTCGTAACACCGGAAAACAGACTCAGATTGGCAACGGCAAACAAGGCCCTACCACGTGTCAGAACGAACACAACTCAAATCATTTGATGAAGCAAGATGTCGACGACATAGAAGGAGTTTGACCTCGATGGAAGCCAAAAATTTGACCTACTGACAATGGATCAGTCTTCCGAGATGCAATCAAGGGGCTGTAAAACAGAAAAGAAGCTTGCAATATCAGGAGATCCAAGTGTCCAATCCAGTAGGGAGTTGGATTATCGACAAGCAGTGACCAGAGCTGAGACAGCGTCAAACGTAGTAAACCGAGCCTTGAGAGAGCTTAAGGCAGAGTGGAAGAAGACGAAGCACACCGGAGTGGTGGCAAGTCAAGAGGCATCAGCACTGACGCGACGAAGTGATAGCACACATCCTTTGACAGAGAATTCCAGCAATTATGAGAAGCCAATAGTAAGAGAAGAAACCCAGCGACGGGCATCGATCAGTTTTGACGAAATGGCCTCATCTTTACAGCCAATTCTTGCAAACAAAGCACTTCAGATCATAAAAGCTCATCCTCAAGGAGAACCAGAGAAAGTGAAGAAATAAGAGAATTGGTGGCCACGATGCGGACGCTGCAAGCCACACTTCCCAAGTTTAGAGGGCAGAGTCGGGCAGAGTTTTGGACCCTTATGCATGCCTTCCGTCGATACATGGGCTATGCAAAGGAATAAAGCTGCAACACGCATTCATGGGATGCGACAATCTAGAGCCAGACCGAGCCTACCACAAGGTAATCAAGATCCTGGAGGCAAGGTTTGGAGATTAATATGCGTATGAGGACCAGCTGGTGAAGAGCCTCAGAGACGCTCGCCCAGCTAGGGCTTTCGACGACGAAGGATTGTGGAAACTGGCATCTCAGTTATGGGGCGCAGTGAGTCACCTGGAGAACCTGAACCTGATGTCTGAACTTGAAACACGACAGACCTTCAGAACGCTGGTGGTTAAGCTTCCCCCAAAATTGAGGGAACGCTGCGTGGATGATGTACGGATATATCAGAAATCAACAGACACAGAATGGGGCTGAAGTGGTTAGTGCTATATTTAGAGGAGAAAGTGCACGATGGACGACATGGCTCTGCCATCAAGCAAGGACAGCCAAGATGGAAGCTAGAAAAGACCAGAAAACTCATAATCAAGAAAAACGAGCCGTGGGCTTAGTGACTATCAGTGAAGCGAAGATTAATGTGGGAGAAACCAGCTCTGGAAAAGGCTCGTGTCCTCTGTGCTCCAGAACACACGGATTAACAGGGTGCGACAAGTTCCAGAGCATGTCAATAAAGGAGAGGATAGAAAGGGTGAAAAGATTACGTTGTTGTTTCTTGTGTCTGAGAATGGGCTACATTGTCCCTGAGTGTTGGTCACGCTTCAGATGTGGCATGGATGGGTACAATGAGAAGCATTCTAAACTGTTGCATCAAGAACGAAGGGAGGCACTTACTGCAAATATGTCAAACACAAGCAAGGGTGGCGTAAAGCGAGACATTCAGGTCAAGTGAAACCGGAGTTAATGGCAGGCACCTCTGATGCTGGCATGGCCCTGAAAGCCAGCAACGATTCATCCAAAGCTAGACAAATAGGCTATGCCTATACTACAAGGACAAGAGACAGCTAAGAAAACCCATACAGCTACAAAGGGGACATTTGACTGTCGAGGAAAAACGCCAAGATGGTGCTGCCCATAGTGAGTGTGAAGATTTGGGGCAAGGACTCACACCAATGAAACCACATCAGAACTTTAACTCTCCTGGACTCAGGCAGCGACAGGTCGGATTGCACCAAAGATCTGGAGCAGAAATAAGGGTGAAAGGGACACCCACCCTGGTAGCCATGGGTATACTTGCGCAAGAAACGATACACAAGTCAGCTGAAGTAGAGGTGGCGGGCGCAGGCATGAAACGAGGCAGGGCCATACCGATGCCGAAAGTACTCATTATACAAAATTTCCTCACAACGCTGCGCAACTCCGTTGTGACAGCAAGTGATATTTCAAGGTGGACCCATCTGCGAGGTGTGGAGTTCCCAGAACCACGGAGCAACAGCATGGAACTTCTGATAGGACAAAATGTGCCACAGGCCTTAGTACCTTTGGAGGTCAGAGCAGGAAGGGAAAGAATGCCATTCACAGTAAGAACACCACTGGGATGGACAGTGAATGAACCGGTTGGGCACCAAGACGTAAAAGGGATCTACATATTGGGATGCCTGATGACCGAAACTACCGTGAGTCCTGAAACTTGTCTGGAAAGACAAGTTAAACTTTTTTGGAAGCTTGACAATGGGGATGCGGGAGCCCTGCAGTCAGCAGCGTATTCACTTGAGGACAAAGGAGTGTTGAGGCTATGGTCAGAGACTGACATCAAAACGAATTGCCATTACCGATTTCCCATACTGTTCCGTGATGAGAACGCGGAACTCCCAAACAACAAGGCCATGGTGGAGTGCCGACTGGATGGGCTTAAAAGGAGACTGTCCAAGGAAGCACAGTTGCGAGAAGAATATGTGGGGGAAATAAATAAACTGCTCGCTGAAGGATATGTTGAATCGGTGCCTGAGCTCCAGCGGGATTCAGATACTGGACTGGTTTGGTATCTGCCTCATCACCCGGTGTTGAACTCAATGAGCCAAACAAAGTATGCATAGTCTTTGACTGTGCGGCCAAACACGAAGGGACATCGTTGAACAACAAGGTCCCGTTTTCAACAACAAATTACTTGGAGTTCTTTTTAGATTTCGCCAAGGGACTTTAGCCATCATGACAGATAGATGTGGAGGCTATGTACCATCAAATCCAAGTCGCGCCAGAAATCGAGATGTATTAAGATTCCTCTGGTGGGAAAATGGGGACCTGAGTAGAGAGCCAGCAACTTATAGGATGAAGGTGCATATCTTTGGTGGGGTGTGGAGCCCTTCATGTACGACTTACGCCCTTCGGCGCACATTTCACGACCACAGATCCTAGTTTCCCAATATGGTGGCGCAAGTGGAAGTCCATTTCTACGTGGACGACCTACTCAAGTCGTTGGACTCACCAAATGAAGCATCAATATTAGCATGTCAGCTTAGAAGACTGCTGGTACACGGAGGGTTTCGGTCAACTAAGTGGGCCAGTAATCACAAAGGAGTGTTGGCTACCATCCCACAGGGGGAGAGGCAAAATGACCTTTAGGAAATTGACCTGAGGCAAGACAAGTTGCCAATGGAGCGAGCCCTGGGGGTTAGATGGCTCCTAAAAGGTGATCAGCTCACCAACAAGGTGCAACCACATTCAAGGCCAGCGACCAGGAGAGAATTACTAAGCCTTGTCAGTTCCATTTACAATCCACTGGGGTTTGTAGCCCCATTCATTGTCAGGGCTAAAATATTATTTCAGGATGAATGCAGACGTCGACAAGGATGGGGTGAACCTTTATCAGCTAGCAACCACACGGCCTGGAGAACCTGGCTAGGAAAACTGACCCACCTCTGGAAATTTAGTGTACCCAGATGCCTGAAAACAGTAGGTGCAAAAGAAATCATATCAGCACAGTTGCACACATTCTGCGACGCATCGCAGGCTTTCCTACGGTGCGGTGACTTACTTGAGACTGGTAGACACTGACAGAAGTATCTAGTGCTCTTTCGTGTATGGACGGGCTAAGCTGGCCCCACTCAAGCAACTGACAATACCAAGGCTGGAACTTTGCGCAGCTGTCCTGGCAGTGAACGCAGATCGAACGGTCCGCCAAGAAATGGCCATAACTATACACGAGTCTTACTTTTGGACGGATAGCAAGCTAGTCTTGCTGTACATCGCCAATTCGAGTAGACGATTTCAAAAGTGTGTAGCCAACAGGATAGCAGTCATATAAGATTTGTCAAGAATCGACCAGTGGAGACATGTCAGCACCTCACTGAATCCAGCGGATGAGGCAACACTGGGTCTACCTGCTCTGGACCTGTTTGCAGGATCTCGGTGGATACGAGGGCCTGAGTTTCTACTGAAGGAAGAAGACCAGTGGCCCAAAGGAAAGGAATTGCCAGTAGCTCTGAGCGACTTACTGGAGGTGAAAGGAGAAGCACACCAGAAATTTGTAGTTGCTCTGGCATTGAATGAGCCGTCAAAGTGGGCCTTCGCCAAACTGTGGCTTAGGTACTCATCATGGTACCGCTTGGTGAAAGGGGTGGCGTGGATTAAAAGGTTCATTCGGTGGCTCGGAACAAGAACAAGGACCTGCGTCTCAAGCTGAAGAGGCTAAGCGCTGAGGAATTACAGTCGGCTGAAGGGACAATTATATGCTTAGTGCAGAAGGAAGTTTTCGAGAAAGAAATCCAAACTCTCATAAAGGGTGAGCTGCCCAGGGAGAGTAAGTTATACAGACTGGAAACATACTTGGACGAGCGAACATTGCTCAGTTCAGGAGGAAGAATTAGAGGAACCCTCCTTGGGCGAAGTGGTGAGGAGCCAATCTTGCTGCCTAGAGACCACAACGTCACCGAAATCATAGTACGGGAGATGCACGAAGAGCGAGTAGGACACGCTGGACGAGAGCACACGATGGCATATGTGAAGCAAAGGTATTGGATCCCCCGGGGCAGACGCTTGCTTGATAGAATCATACGACGCTGTGTGGTGTGCCGACGAAACAACTGGAGAAGTACGCCTCAAGGGCAAGTTGACTTGTCAATAGATCGTGTCACACCTGGAAAGGCACCATTTGCTTACACCGGAAAGGACTGTTTTGGTCCCTTCATAATCAAGGTAGGGAGGAAACAGGTCAAGCGATGGGGATGTCTGTTTACGTGTGTGACTACTCGGGCTGTTCACCTAGAGGTCCTGGCCTCATTAGACGCAGATGCCTTCCTCAACGCAGTAACAAGTTTCTCAAGACGCAGAGGTACTCCAGAGCGTATGAGGTCGGATAACGGGACAAACATGATACGGGCAACCAAAGAACTCAAACTGGCCGTGAAAAGTTGGGAGCAAGATGACAGACTCAGAGGTGCCTTACTGAAAGCAGACATCGAGTGGGTCTTCAATCCACCAGCTGCCCCTTACATGGGGGGAGTATGGGAGAGACAGATTCGCACAGTGAAGAAAGTCTTGCAGGCAATTGTGGGCTCACACGTTTTAGACGATGAACGTCTGCAAACACTGTTCTGCGAAGTGGAAGCCATAGTTAACGAAAGGCCAATCACCCCGATGCCAAACACTCCAAATGAACCGAAGGCTCTTACGCCTGCCCATCTGTTGCACCTAAGCCGAAAGGGCCTTCTCCCTTTAGGCGGACGGTCAATAGGCGAATCATATCAAAGAAGGTGGAAGCATGTCCAATACGTTGCAGATCAATTTTGGAAGGAGTACCTTCCTCAACTTAGAACTCGACGAGGGCATTTCAGACCACGGCGCAACTTCCGTCCTGGTGACATAATCATTATATCAGAAGCAAATTGTCCATGCAATCAATGGCACCTTGGCCGACTGATGGAAGTCAAGGTTGGCGAGGATGAACTTGTACAACAAGCAGAGGTCAACATGGCAACACGCACGATCCTACGACCTGTAACTAAGTAATGCTTGTTGGAGAGAGCAATGAAAAGGGCTGACGGGGTCAGCCATGAAAATGACTTGAGTATCCACACACGAAAGCAGTGAGGCCCGAACGTCAAGGGACCGAGATGTCCTAAGGAAAAGATAAGTACCACCAGCCTGAGGGCAACATAGTCACAAGAACATGAAAAAAAGCTAAGTATCAAAGGCCTGATCTGGTTTTGAGCGTGAACGCTCAACGGAAGGGGTGTTACCACAAGCAGTAATGAATAGGATAACCCTCAAACAAATATTATGTTCGGATGTAAGTCATGTCATGTTTTATTTGGAGTGCCTGCCCGTATATAGTTTTTTATTTTAACAAATTTATTGACAAATCCTGGAGTACAGTTTGCCTATTCCGAGTAATTCAGTCAGGTCTTGACACTTCCCACTGCCAAGCAGGACAGAGGTTCATACACAAAGAAATACATCGTATTCATTGACAGCATATATATATATATATATATATATATATATATATATATATATATATATATATATATATATATATATATATATATATATATATATATATATATATATATATATATATATCAGATTCATGTGGGTAATGCCACTGTTCACTGCCACGCAGGACAGAGGTTCGTACACAAAGAATACATCATATTCATTGACAGTACTTATATGTCAGAGTCAGATTAGATTGCCCCGGAGGGACCTAGTTTATTGGGCACCCCTTTACATTCTGTGCAAGGTAAAGCACAGAAGCGTTTACAGTGCCCATCTGGGAAGCAAGCAGAGTTCCTGCTTGCCTTTTATGATCATGCATTAGGGCGTAAAAACCTGAAGGGTCATGGGTTTTGTCAGCAAGTTACATAAAGTGACAGAATGATGAGTGTGTGGGGGAAAATATCCCGGTACAATTTATCTGTTTATGGCAAAGCGTGGCAGGTCCCTAATAATGTCAAGTGCCAGGCCATAGCCATAGGCAGTGACAGTATTGAGGGACATACCTTTTAGTGTGATTGTGAATATAGAGTATCGAGTAGCGGAGATAGAGAGAGGAAGAAGGGTGATGTTTGTGTGGTAGTAGGAAGGAGTTGTTTGGGTATAAAACGCCTGATGCAACGATTTACGTCAGCCCAGGCAGGGCCTGCGACGAGGGGCACTCACACTGGCTCTTCCCATCATAGGATGAATACCCAACCCATTCTGTTTGAGACCTTTAACACGTAAGTTCAACCTATCCTTAAGTTTACACAGGTAGACTGTGCCCATGGTATCGCTTATCATTGTGACAACATGGAAATATGGCAAATTAAGTACGCATTATAGACGTTATGATTAGACTAATTACATAGCTAAGATATGTTAATATGTAGTGGATTAAACATTTATGTATGATTAGCTACGTATGATTTATTATTCAAATTACTAAGAAGGAATTGTATTCAACAGGTTTGACCGAGTTATAATGTTCGCATTCATCGTGATGGGTCTCATTATCCCTTAATCGCTCTAAAGGCGATTACAATTACATTTTTCAAAGGCCTCTAACCTCTTGCCAGTGTCTGCTGAAATTGTCCACGCTTCTGACCTATACAACAGTCCTTGCCATATACAGGGTGTTCCGTAAATACCTTTCATAAATCAGGGGTGTATTTCTGAGACAAATAAAGATTAATGACTAAATGACCAAATTGTCAATTCTCAATAGTTTCAGAGTTACAGCACATGACAGGTTTGGTAGTAATGTGATCAAACCTACAGTATATTGGGGTGTAAATGAAACATCCACTGCTGTTAGTGTCGCTTATTAACAATAGTAATGTCATACGCCTCATGATTTGTACTGGGATTAACATTTAGAGCAAATGTTCAAAGTTCCGCCCCTCTTGGTCAATGCAGGCTTCAGCCCGTCTCACAAATGAGTGTCGCACACGATCAAAGACCCCAGGGGTGTTTCGAATGTTTGTACACACTTTCCTGCACACTGCGACACAATTCCTTGAACTTTGGGACCTCTGTAACATCACCTTGTTTTTTATGTGACCCCACAGGTAGAAATCAAGGAGATTTATTTCTGGTGATCGTAGGTTTCATCACATTACTAACCTGTCATGTGCTGTAACTCTGAAACTATTGAGAATTGACAATTTGGTCATTTAGTCATTAATCTTTATTTGTCTCAGAAATACACCCCTGATTTATGAAAGGTATTTACGGAACACCCTGTATTATAAAGCCTTTCGGCAGCCTTCTTTCTCAAATTGAAGTTAAAGTCCCTTTTCGTTAAGTCCTATGTATTATTAAATTCTTATTCTGATTTCTTTTGCACATCTACCATCACAGCTCATGTTATGTCTCAAATATACAAATTTTACACTTATTTAAGAACCCTGTTGCCTTCCATAATTTGTATTTTCAAATTAATTTCCAATTTGGAAACAGCCATTACTTTTGTCTTCAAGGCAATAACTCTTAGCCTATATTCTTGACCCTTTACCACTAACCTGTTAACCATTTACTGCAATGCTTCTTCATTATATCCGTAATAAGAGCAGCGTCATCTCCATAGCTTTATATTTTATATTACTTTACCATTAACCTTTAGTCCTTCATCGTCACTTATAACTTCCCTCATTAAGAACTCTGAATATATACTAGACAATGTTGGACACAGAACACAGCCATGTCTTACTCCAGTCTAACTTTAAACCAATTAATACATTCATTATTTACCAACACTGCAGCCTCTTGTTGCCAGTAAATATCCTTGTATAGAAATACAGTTTTTCCTTTACAAATTTAAATTAATATTTATCCTCCTCTTGGTCCTATTTCTGGTGCTACTTCCCTTTCCAAGCATTTGCGTTAAAATTATCAAATATAATCAGACATTCATTGAACTTCACATTGTCTTTTGCCTTCTTTAAATCTTCATAAATCTTTCTAAGACTTCCTCCTCACTATCATTTCTTGGTACATAAACCTATATTGTTACCAAGTTAAGCATTATACTTGACTAACAAAACTCTATCTGACACTGACCAATATCCCTTTACACTACTGCTCAACTTCTGGTTTACAAGAATACCAACACCTCTCTCATGTTTTCACCACCTGAATATATGAAACAAAAATATTCACAACTATTGCTATTTGAACCTGTCCACCCCAGAATGTCCCACTGCAATCTTTTCATTTCCCTATAAACAATTGCATACTTACCAGCCTCATATAATGTCCTCACATTCCATGTTCCAACCTTTATTTTGTGTTTGCTCATTCTTAAACTTTCCTTCGAGTTTAATGCCCAAGGCTTTCTTTTGCTCGAACAGTGCTTGTTAGCTCGGTCGCACACTGCTCACAAACACAGGAGGCAGTGAGGTTGGACCTTTAGGTGACGATGGTCCAACAGGAACACCCGAAAATCGTTTATTGTGTCTGTCCATGGATGTTCAAGAGCAAGAGATGAAGTTAATGAGAATGGATGTCCCAAACCTTTTCTCGTCAGAAGACTAATTAAAGGGAGCAGAAAAGGGTGGGAATGAACTATGGGATGTAGAGGTCGCTCGTACCTCACTATGGTAAAGAACCAGCCCATCACCCGTGGAATTTACGTGTTTAGCGACGATCCATTTTCAACCACCTCGTTTGAGGATACAAGATGGGAACTTTATGCCCATCCCAGGTATCTGAAAGTGATTCGTTCGATCTCCCACACCACGACAAGGTAACGTAAAATTCGGGCACTGTATCTTGTAGGGGGATGGACACGATGCCCCAATCAAAATAAAATAATTGTGTAATTACACGCAACAAAACATATGGCACCGAACTATTTCCAAATGCCATACATAAAACAGTATATTTTATTCAACCGAAATGTCATTCAAAACCACATAATAAATTTAATTACATTTACATATTAATAAAAGATCAATATACTGTTGATGCTAAAAGTGACATTCAGTTGAAGTCCCGATAACGTGGGGCAATTGTTGGAGGTGCAGCGATTGAGGGTGGCAGTCGTCCGGTAAGGGTGGCCAATAGACATACTACTTAATGTTACATCACCAGTCTTACCTGTTATTGACAAAGTTGTGGTGTTGACAAGGTTTCGGTGGTGTTTCAGCACCTCGGAGCCTCACTACTCCTGCTAGAATTTTTTTGATCCTCCACCCATCCCGTTACCCTCATAGCTTAACAAGTGGTTTATATACAAATTATCACTGCTTATATAACTCTTACAGGCCAACCATTGTTACACAAGAGCTCACTTTTCGTAGTAATGTGAAAGTCAACGGTGCTGATTTACTGAAACACTGGGCCATATATGATGTGACACTCTCTCCACTTTGTTGTTGTGGCGGCCATTTCAACGTAACCAATTTTTTTGCCGATTTCATGCCTTTAAATAGTGTTTGTTTAAATATACAAGAAGGCTTTGGTTATTTGGAGGTCTCCACCGCACAAGATAATATTTATAAACCTATACGCACAAAGTAATTTTACAGTTTATCACTACAGCAGCTCAAAGAATAACAAATCCTTTACCTCCAACTTCTCCAAGCTCTTCCTCTCACCCGTCACCCATTGGCCAGCACAACACTCCCCTAACTTACCGCCATCTGTAGACAGAAAAATGCATGTGTCTACTGCTTCGGATTCACTTGTCGGAATCTCGGGGTTCGTGGAGAAGCAGAAGAGGCTTCCTGTGTACGAAATACAACTTGTTAATGAAAATATCACTATAACCATGGATAAGGGGATAATGGTGGATATATCTACAGGTAAAGTTGAGGTTAGGAGGGCCGGGGGGAATAGAGACTGGGATGAATGAATGTACGAGTAGTTAAGAGTCTGTGAATAAAATGTGAAAACTACAATAGTCAATGTCAGTTTACTCGTATTGTCGCTGCTATCATCCCTGTTGTTGACACCTGAAACAAACAAAATGGCATAATAAGATCCAGGCTAATAGTTTAACCACGTATAAACGACTCTCCACGACTCTG